GATCATGTCCCAGCCAGAAGACTTATTGTTAACTCAGGCAGAATTAACACCATGATTTGCTGCATGGCCAAGAAAACATTAGGAAATGTGTACGAGAGCAGAAAGGAAAAGGTCCAACTCCACAGAAACTGAAGACATCAGAATAAGAGCCAAAATGTTGGTTTTAATGTCTGAAAACATCCCTCTCTTGTTTACTCATTAATGCAGTGTACTCTTTCCTTCTCCAATGCTTATGAAATAAATAATAAAATAAATCATTGCTTTGACTAAATCTTGACTTGTAAAAAATGCCAGGAACAGGCATGCTATCTTTCATTCTACCCCAAAACACACATTAGTCTTTAGAACATGGGTGAGCTAGATTTTAATCAGAATGTGGTTACCTGATTTATCCTGGATAATCTGGAAACCTTAACTACTTTTTTCTTTTAATTCTTATTAAAAAAAAAAAAAAAGAAAAAAGCAGCCAATATTTGGCTCTAGCTTGCATTTGAAGGAAGAGAGGATCCAACTCTTAAATCAGAAAACTTCATCAACTGAGTCATGCACCCCCCCTAATGCTTTTGAAACTTTAACAAACATGTTACCATGAGGACCTCAGAAAAAGGTTCAGGCCTAGTAAACAAGAAAAAGAGCTGCTTGCTCCAGCTGCCTGATGCCCTAAGATAGTCTAACTAGTTACTAAACATTTGCCCAGAAGAGATTCCCCAGGTAAGATTTCCAGTGGATCCTTTCAACCCAGTGTTGTTTCTACAGATGCAAACCTGAACGTGGGTTCATTTTGCAGATAGCTCCTCTTTCTGCCACACAATTCATATCAAAGCTGTTCCAGGATCCTGTTTCCATTGTTGCTACTCTCTTCCCTCTCAGCTGACATTATGCCAATCATATCAAAGAACAGGAACTAAAAACTCAAGGGCACAGTGAAATGAGTTGCTGGAATTGTTGCAGGCTGAACAGCAAACAGATGGTCAGCAAAACCATGAGAACTGGAGAGGAGCCTGATAAATGATTGATAGCACAGCTCAGCTTTGCTTTGGAGGTGTCTCATCCAGAGGCATCTGCTCTGTAAAGCCCAGGAGGGGTTGCCTTGTTCTGCCCTGGTCCACAGGTGTACACAGAGGTCACCTGCAAAATGCTTTCACCAGGAATACAAAGTCACAACAACAACCAGGTGGGCCAAGGATTTCTCCCTCTACCAGACTGCTGTTCCTACAATTCACTGACTACAGAGTGCAAAATTGAGGAAAAGAGATGTGGGACCTGAGGGATACAGCAGGGGGTTGACAATTATCCAAATGTCAGATGGTCTATTGCAGCCTCCCTCTTCCCCCTGAGAAAACCCCTCTTAAGGCATCTGATACACTGGACTGTTAAAACACCAACTGTAAATGACAAGGGCTCTCCTAATTTAAGACACTTAACACTAAGTGATTCCTGGAATGCAAATGAAGTTTTTTTCCTCACCCCACAGACACCACATACCGTTCCCACCAGTGGATACAAGAACCCAGCCCCAACGCTGGCCCGAATGTCTCGGATTGGCAGAACAATTGGCAGAACAAAACCTGTAGGTGCTCCTTTTTGTTCAGGGTCATGAGATAATGACAAGTGAGTTTTAGCCATGCAGATTGGCAGGTTTCCAAATCCCTGGGAAAAGAGAAAGAAAAGGAATGACATAAGTGGAAAAAACAGTAATTTTTCCAGTACAAAAATATAATTGTTCTATTGTGCCATTCTCTGAAGACATCAGGCATTTTATTCCCCAACAAATGCTTCATCCACAGCCTGTCAGATCCACTGATCATTCTACATCCCCATTTCTTCTCTCTCAAAGTCTCTCCCCACCCCCCATTAAATACTAAAGAAAGAACCACCATGTCCCTCAGCACATCCAGCTGAGGAAAAAATTAATGGTATAGAAGTGCTGGATATACAACCTTGACAGCCAACTTACTTCCTACTCTCTTCCCAAAATGCTAAACAGCTCAGAGGTAAAGTTTTGTTCAGATGCAGTCGGTTAATTAGAAATGTTTGATCAGTACAATTGCAGGTCATGAGGAAGTGGCAATTGCATGCCTTTGGCATTTTGATGGACTTGGAATATATAAGAAGCATGAAAGTGAGAAGCTATACATGCCAGTAGTAAATGGATTGCAAAAGGAAAACTGGTTACAGCAGCCTGCAACCAATTAATTGCCAATCCTCACATTGCTTTTCTCTTCAAAGACCTTCAGTAATGCAGAAGCAGGTAAATTTGCAACAATGTCACACCAGAGAAGAGCAAAAGCAACACAGCAACCAGAAAACATTGAATTCAACAACCAGATAGCAGGCTCAAAACTTAAACTTCCCATATCAAGTCTTGTACAACCCACAGAACTCTTTCCCCAGCATAATTGTGACTGACAAAAATCCACATGGACTCAAAAACTGATTAGTGGAACTTGATCTCAATGGAACAAGATGAAAAAATAATCAGAGACTATTTAAAACCAGCATAATGACTTGTAATTCCCTAATTCTCCAAATGCTGAAAGACTGGAGAGTATAGTAGGGAAAGATCACTAAATCCTCCTATGCTTTCTCCCCAAAAATATCACAGATGGGTGCTGCGTGGTACTGGGGCACACGAGTGAGTTCTGTTTTCTTCACTAGAAGACAAAGCAAATTTCTCCTTTCCCACATCCTTTTCTTCCTCTGCCATAGCAGCATTTAATGAGTCCTGGATAAGGACATGATTTGAATGAGGATTCCCTTGAAACACAGCTTGAACACCACTGCTCAGTGTAATAATTCTGAATGAAAAGCACCACTGCTACCAGCTGACGTGGAAAACTCACCTGCTTGGTGTACAGGGCAACTTTCTCCTGTGCTTCAGGAAGTAGCTCAATGTCTCTTGCCCCATAGACCTGCTGGGCAATAAGTCTGATCTTATCTACAACAGGCAGCTAGGAAAACAAAAAACACAGGCAAGTCAGCCAAAAGTACAAAGACCTGCAGCATCACAGCAGTTTCAGGTCCTCCACATGTGTTGTCATGTGCATATCTATAGACATAAGGCTTAATTCCATTTGCTGTAGAACAAAATATAGAGTAATTGGAAGGTTTTCAAACATATTTCAGTATTTCAAGGGTAGCCAAACCAGTAAGAACTGACTAACTACATCTTTGAGACTTGTGGAATCAATGCTCCAGTTCTAACAACACATTTCTTCTCAATTTTTCAGTCAGCCTTTTGGACAGCCTCAAGCAACTTAAGCTAGTGAAACCAACTGATATAAACGAAGCATCTCTGTAACAGTGCAAGCTCCTACCTCCACATTATAGAGGAACTTGAAGTTGCTAGGTGCCTGGGATGCTCTCTGAACAGCTCGGGCCAGGGCCAGGGCTCCTTTCCCTCCCTCTGCCCAGTGAGTGCACTCCACAGCATCGAATGCTCCTGCCTCCTTTGCATGTTGTACTACAAGGGCCAGTTCAGCCTTTGTATCTGTCCTGTAAGGAGAAAGATTGCATGTTTGTACCAGAATGCACACACAGTAAATAAATGTTCTTGACAAGATCCAAAATGCAGAAATGAAGAAATCACAGCTACCAGACTGCTCAGGGGTTATCCACCACAGCCTCCTCCTTGGCTGCACCAGCTTTAACACCACAGCTCAGAGTACTTCTGCTGCATAAGAAGACCACACAGTGGTTGTTTCCTGTGCAGTACAACATGCAGGGCCTAATTCATGCATTTCTCAACAATGCAAAACTGTGGCCTTCCAGTATCTGAAGGGAGCCTACAAGAGAGCTGAGAAAAACTTCTTACAAGAGCACATAGTGACAGTAGAAGGGGAGTGGTTTCAATCTGAAAGAGTAGGTTTAGATTGGATACTAGGATAAAATTCTTTACTGTGAGGGTGCTGAGGCACTGGAACAGGTTGCCCAGCTGTTGCAAGTGTTCCTGAAAGTGTTCAAGGTCAGGATGGTTGGAACTCTAAGCAACCTGGTCTAATGAAAGGTATCCCTACTCATGGCAGGAGGGTGGAACTGGATGATCTTTAAGGTTCTTTCCAAACCAGGCCATTCTGTGGTTTTATGACTCTGTGGAAAGGCTGCCAACAACATATCAACAGTACTGAAAACAAGAGTTTGTGTTAAACACAGTGCGTGAAGTGCCACAATGTTACATCCCTGCATCACCTCCCCATCCCAGCTCACTCACTTGAAAGCATTGACAGCCACAACCACTGGAACACCAAACATCCGTGCATTCTGGATTTGCTTGGTTAGGTTGCTGCAGCCTTTTGCCACCAGTTGAAGATTCTGTAGAGAAGACAGCAAAGGAAGCATATTTTATCAGGGGTAGGGAAACTTTTGTTCCAAATCCACCACATGCAGAAACTAGTGGTAAAAACGTCAAAATGGGAATTAAACCACAAAGGCGAATCCCCAGTGCTGCTTTTGGAACAGTCCAGACCACTGCAAGCTCTTGGACAGGAGACAGGAAAAGGAGTGACTACTTCTAATGATCACTGGTTTCAGCTCCCAAGTCAAGGTAAGAGAAACCATTTTTTAACCACTTTCTATTATGCTTAGAAAGTTAATACTTGTTCTCATTAACTCCCCACTGTAAAGCCTCAGTTTCCTCTCTGAAACATTTTCTCTCTTTATATATTAAATATCACCAGCAGCGAATTTCATCCATTTGAATCCAGTGAATCCATTTGAAGTCTGCGGCAACAGCTTTCAGTTTACATATATTTACATTTTGCAGCATCAGAGACTATTCCTGGAAATTCAGACGTTTCATCCCTTCCTATGCAAAGGATAATATATACAGAAGCTCCATGAGTGAAAGAGCTTCAGCAGTGTAAAGAGCCTGATCAATTATCCAAGGGTACACAGCCGTTCAAGGCAAAAGGATGGGAGGTGAGTCTTTAGTTCACTTCCCTCACTTGCAAACAAGGTGGGGATAAAAACAAAAACTGCTGCTAAGAAGAGAGTAATTAGAGAAGCACTCTGGATATTTTCAGAGACAATATTTCAGCTAAGCAATTACTCCACATTGAGAGGGTTGGGGAAACAGAGTGGATATTACTATAAAAAATTGAGCACACAGACAACTGTGTGAGTTAAGGAGAAAAACAAGGCTCTGAACACTGGCTAGGTGGAGGACAATAAATGTTTGAAAGAGCAGAGCCAAAGTAACATCATTAAAAAAAAAAAAAGAAACATTACAGCTCGTAATGTAATGGAGAAGCCTTTCTGTGGTAGCTAAATAAATGACACACTTGTAATCCAGGCATATGCTGCATGACACCATCATGTCATGACCACAGCTAGCTGGTCCACTGTCACAAAAGCTTAAAGATTACCTCTTCTGTGTATTCCTTTGGCAGAGGTACCCCAGCAGTGACCTGTGGAAAAATGGAAAGAAATGGAGCCCCATAAGACTTTTATCCATGACAGCAATCCCTGCTTTATTCTTACTAAACAGTATCAAGATACAACATTCTACTTCATACCAATCCTTTTTATTTCTAAGAAAAAATAAAAGGAAGAAAAAAAGACTGCATGATAAAATACATGGCTCACTCTGGGTCTGTTACAAGTGGCCCAGCATGCAGGCACTTGACTAGGGCAATAAAACAAGCAGATATGAACCTGTAACATACTACAAAATGAAGCTGTTGTCAAAGAGGGAAATACCAATTCCTTTTACAACTCTGAATTTCAGGACAATTTCAAGCAGATCAACTGCTACAGGGCTTTAAGTGACCGAAACAGAACAACAGGAACAGCCCCTCAGGCCTGCTGAAAACCTTCCCCAGTACTTACTGCAGGTCCTCCCCCATGCATTTTCAGAGCTCGGACAGTAGCAACCAACACCACCACATGAGGCCGGAGACCAGAATAGCGGCACTTAATGTTGAAGAATTTCTCCATGCCTATGTCTGCACCAAATCCTGCTTCTGTAACTAGGGTAGGAAATAAAAAATAAAGTTTGTGAAAGATTTCTAGGTGAAGAAATCATACTCTGATTATATAAATCAGAAACTTCCTCCAAGAAAAAAAAAAAGCCCAAAGACAGTCATGATAAAAAAGGCAGATCCCTCCAAAACAAAAAGCAAACAAAAATACCCCACACTCCACACACTTACCAACAAAACCGTCTTTACCCACAAGCTTCAATGCTATTTTGTCTGCCAGCACAGAGGAATTCCCATGTGCAATATTGGCAAAAGGTCCAGCATGAACAAACACTGGTGTTCCCTAGAACAAGGGGAATGCAGGAGAGAGAGAAAGAAAATCAGAAAGTGCAATTTTGCAAATAGGCAGCATGTCAGGAGCTAAGTACTGTGGTATCTGAAAGTAAAGAAAAACACTTTTAGAAGACAGATCTTAAAGCCTTCTGATCAGACATTTGTTATCAGCAAGAAGGACTACAGGGCAAACAGGATTATTATAATCTCCACAAGTGGAGGTATTAATCCGCTTAGGAAATGGATGGCTAAATCCCAGCAACTCTTTGTCATTCTCCTTCATCCACACCATTTAAATTCCCAAAACACTTCATGACATGAAAGACAGCAGACTAAAGACACAGCAAAGTTTAGTGCATTTCCTCAGGGTCATCCCACATGCCAGTGGCAGACCTAGAAGGAACCCAGCCCTCTCCCCTAGCCCTGTGCATGAAACCACAGTAAACCCCCAGCTCTGAGCTGAGCAGACCCACACTGACCATGATGAATGAACTAAGTCAGTTGCTCTAAGTGCCTTCTCAGAGCCAAGAAGCAAATCATCTGTGCTCACCTCTAGCGTCTGCATGAGGTTTGGCTTAACAGCATCCTTCATCAAGACAGCCAGAGCTCCAGTTACTCCCTGAAAGAAAAAAAGGACAATCAGTTTCCAGATGTACCAAGACCCTGAGATGGTTCCTACACAGTGTAAAGGTTCTGATTTTGTCCTGGTGGGCTTCTGGTACCAGATCCAGAAGTTGCTCAACATAGAAATAACTCTAGTCAGGGCAAAGCAGAAAAATGACCTTTACATTCCTGTAAGAGGATCTGTAATTTCTGGTGGGAGCAGCCTCTTGGTTGTGACCTTGCTGGGCAATCACTTTGCAGCAAAGGCATGAAGAACAATTAATTCATGTTTCAATGCTATGGCAAGGTTAGCAGATAAGAGCAGCAAGGGAGTAACCTCTCAGTAAATACGGTTTACTGCAGCCCATTCAGCAGCACAACAAAATGTTCTTAGATTTTGTAGGTGCATTTGTCTTGGATTTTCTTCCTTCTTTTCAGCAACGTGGTTTACATACTGGCCTTCAAATGTAATAACAACCTGCTACATCCTGTTCTTGTGCAGAAATAACTTTTAAAGTGAACCTCTGTGCTGATGAGAGCAACCAGGCTGACATGAAAGACAAACACTGGAGCCCATATTTCCTCCCAGGTGCAGCCATGTACCCTGCTGAATTCTGCTTCCTGTGCAACAAAAGCTTGTGATTTCATCTCCATGTGCTTTGGGAAGAGAAGATGTGGGTTTGGTTATTTTTGTGACTGACAATCCAGTGGAAACCAAACCAGCTGTTATCCAGAATTTGAAAAAGTAACTAAAATTGCTGTCGTGAGTCCTTAGCCAAATGCTCACAGCAGTTATGAAAAACTTGACCCATAATCTCTTTTCCTTCCCTTTCAATTTCAACTGAATCACAGCACTCAAAGATATGAAAGACCATTTCTTCATAAGACATTCACTGCTTTGTTTCATTAGTTTCAATCTTGCCACATGAAAGCTTATTTAACATTTAATGGATAAGCTTTAAACTTCAGTCATCTCCACAATAATGAAAACTGCAGAACAAGATTTCCATGGCGACATTTCAGACCCGTGTCGCTCAGCAGCACTTCGATACATCCCATCTCTAAAACCTGTTGTCAGTTTTTGATTCCACGTTTTGTCACAGACTTTTTTTGCACTTCATGGTAGCACACTCATGACATTGGTTGCATCACAGCAGCAGGACCCAGCCTGGACTCTGCAATCACATTTCTGCCCGCATGAGGAGCGGGTAACATGGTCTTAACAACTTGAGCCACTGGCTGCCATCAAGTGCAAGCACGTAACAGACAAGAGAACCTACTGGATGTCTGATGCCATCCTCCACTCTGCAGCTGGAATGGACAGAATTAAATATAAACAGGTTTTTTAAAAAGTTTTAAAAAAATGGAAGTTAAGTACTTCCATCACCTGGACTCTACAGAAAAGCCAAACTCCCAAGCCACACATCATCTGCCTACATGGCTGATGGGCAGTAAGAAACACTTCTGTTTTCCAGAAAAAGAGTTTAACTCAGTTACTTAAGTTAAACTGGCAGCATGCTAGGTGTAGGAATTAAAACCTCAAAGCTGCCTACAGAACTTTGGCACATGCTCTTTCTCATTCCCAACAAATGTCTCACATAGGGATTTAGAGCTAAATTGTTCCAGCCTGGCACTTTTCCTGCAAGGCCAGAGTCAGGCCATCTATCTTCTGTTTCTTAGCCTTATCCTGGGAGGAAGCAAAACAAATAAACAACACTCCCACATCCTCCAAAAACATAAAGAAACAAAAAACCTGCAGCAAGACAGCAAGAGCTGGATAAGCCTTAATGCCCTGTCCCACCTAGCTGGAAACAGGTCAGGAAGAAGTGCCTGGGACACAGGACATTGCCCTGAAACCACGCTGAAGCACCATTTGGGAAAATGCTATTTGACACACTCCACAGACCTGCCAAGAGCTAACAATTATTGGAGGGACAGCTGCAAAGCAGTGCTGCAGCTTGCAACTGCTGCTTAGGGCTGCTTTACACACTGCTAACAGGCATCCCCAGCACTATGACATTCAGCATTTCATGAAGGGAAATTAAATATTTGTGTCCCTCATCAAAGGCTGCATTACAGAGAACACACACTTTTCGCAAATGCTTCTGCTTTTATAGCATTCACAGACTCCCAGAAGAAGGTATTTCATTGTCTGTAATTGAATTTGCACAATGCTTTGTTCCTGCTTAATTTTTTCCTCACTCCAGGGAGCCTAAGAAACAGGATGGCCAGCAGGATGCATTTTGAGTTCTTCTGATTCATAAAGATGCTTTTTACGTAGAAGCCACCACGTATTTCCCCTGTAACTCCTATGGTGCCAGTTTCAACTTGACGCACACAGCACATCACACAGGACCCTTGTCCCTGCCCAGGTCACAAACACCCCCTGTACAGCTGGATAAGGTGGCAGTCACACTGAAGGAAAAAAACCTCCATTAACTGCAGGGGCTGGGATTTTCTCTTTGATCTTCTATATGTTAATTTTTATTTTTTTTTTCAAAGAACTGTCTCTCTGCTTTTTAATTCAAGGACTTTGAGAAATAAGAGGAAAAAGCATTTAATGGCAATGACTCTTACAAGGTCATCTGCTGTAACTGGTATTCCTTTTTTGCTGGAAGCTACCACCATTCTGCCAAATCGCTTTTTCATATCATCCAACCCATCAGCCAGGGCTAGGACTGCCATGATTTCACTGCTCACTGTGATGTCAAACTGAGCCTGAAAGAGATGAATGAAGGACATGAACTCATTAAGATTCCCTCCCAGCAATTCTTACCTCTGTTCAATTCTCGAAACAAGAGAAATCATCGCCATTGTAATAAAAAAAAAAAAGGAAAAAATACAGACATATAATACACAAGAAATCCAAAGCGTTGCTCTCAGAACACTTCATTAAATTTGGCCATTTTAAACTGGATTTTTTTTCCTGCAAGATGAAATAAAACCTACTCATTCTGTTGCTATTACGTGTCTCTCCTGGCACGTACATTAGTGATTCATGTAAGAACACAGAACACTAACAAATTTTATTTTTGAACACTGAGCTTACTAACTCATCTGAGCATTACTAAACAATACAGTAAAAGACAAAAAGCCCACCAACAGAAAAGCCAGATTCTATAGGAAATGAAGGGTAGAATTCATCTGACACTACCACCTTAGGGAAGCTAAGCACCCTAAGGGCATTTCAAATCAAAAGAAAGAGGCTTTTCTGAGCACAATTCATTGGAACTATAAATTTGACAGTTACTTAAGGGATGAGGGGAGTCACAGCCCAATTGCCTCTTTTAGTGTATTGATTATACAATGAATCTAGACAAGCTCAGTTTTGGCCAGATAAACCCCACCCAAAACACCTGCAGCAGTGAAGATGAACCACTGTCATGACCATCTTTAGAAAGGGAACTCGCATACCACGGTTATGCCACAGTCACCCCAGTTTGGGAAGCCAATATTCAGGAGACAACAGGGAAGGAGGGAAGAGACAATGAAACGAAACACAGCACTGGTAGCAAATTTAACTGCTTGGCTGAGAAGACTTTCTGCTTTCTCTTTAAGAAGATAATGGTAAAAGATGAAAATAGCTGGAGTTACAGAAACTTCCTTTTTCCAAGTACTTTTTAAAACATATGAGAAAAGGGAACAATTACCGTCCGTGTGAAGCCTTTCTCTGTTACAGACTGTCCAATAGTGATTTTCCTAAGGAATCTGTCATTTGTGTCCAGTACTGCAAGGAATGCAAAGAGGAAAGATGTCACATTACCAAGTCATAAATTCACATCTTTGCCCTGTAACAAACACCCAGCCAGGTCACCAATGAAGAGAAGAAGGCAGTTTGAGAAACCATCCTCTCCTAAAGAATGGCAAGTGCTCCTCAGTGTGATTCTTACACAAAAACTGCCATGAAATTAAGATACCCAGAGGTACACAAGAGCCTGCACTCCATCCAGAGGGAGTCTACATCACTTGGGGTGCATTAATCACCAGACCAAAGCTGCTCTGAAAAGTAGATAATATTATTCCAATTGATTTTTCACCATCATTAACCAATATGAATCCAGGAAATTATTGCAGTCAAAAAGAAATAAAATAAACACTCTAAGTTAAGTGATAAAATGGTCACATACTATCATTTAGTGAGAATTGTTTCACATAGCTCCATTAAGTCAAATTACCTTGGAAACACAAATTATGGAACACTGGCTTAAATTTGCTGTTTCTTTCTATATGCTTGAAATATTCCAAGTGTTTTATGAAGTATTTCCCATGAGGCAGACTATTTTAGCCTCATTACAGGTTATGAAGCAAATTCTGGAGAATACATTTCATACTGTATTTTAAAGGAAAGAAGAAAAAGCAATACTCTTGGAGCCTAACTCAGGAAAAGGCCCTCTTTTAAAATTCCTTTGATAGTGAAGTATTAAATCTGTCAGACCAGAGAATGATTTTACTTTCAACTATCCTTAAAAACCTTCTTAAAAAATCTGGTCTTCATTTGCTGTCAGTCCCCAACAGAGCAAGTGGGCAGATTAAAACTGAGTTTAATGCCAGAGCAGAACCCTCTCCTTACTCATACAACAGTAAGGTAAAAAGGCTGCTGGCCACAGTTGCCAAATTCAACTCTCTCAGTGACTAACAAACCCAGAAACACAAACTTGCACACGTTAGCAAACTCTTAATATTTGTGATTTCAAAGCAGATTCAAGCCCCCATGTTAGACCCTTTAGAAATAGGATCCCAGCTGCAGGCAACTATCCCACCAAACTTAAGGAAGGAGGAACCAGCTCTGCCCTCTTTCCCAGGAAACACAGGTTCAGCTGCAACTGCAAATGTCTCTTTTCACATATTTTCTTTCATTTAATGTCTCTAGTACCTCTTTGCCATGTTATGGTGCCTGGGTCAATGTCCAGTCTCACAAATGCATTTACTTCTTCCTTTGTCAAAGCCATAGGATCAGTTTTGTTAATGCCCAGTTTCTATGGGAAGAAAAGACAAATAAGAGGTATAGTGAAAAGATTCACAGAAATGAACCTTTTACTGCAGCATTTAGGCTCTGTCTGCAGCATCTGCATATTCAGAAATAAGGACCCTTTCTTTCAGACCCCAAAATAACATAAGATGATCCATATCAGCACATACTGGACAGAGCTTGCTGCTGTCCAGCTTGGAAAGGGCAAGGCAGACAATGGAGCTCATTAGGGCAGGTTGTCACCAAGCTTTGTGCAAGGAACCTAGTGAAAGAGTAAGAGACAGCTCTGCAGTTCCTTCCACGCCTTGTTCCCGTCATTAGTCTCACATGCTTACATCCATTTCTCATTAGTTTGCCTGGGGTCACTGCACACAGCCACACGTATTTAAAGCCACTGCTTTCAGCATGCTGGTTAAAGCAGCACAAAGGAGGAATTAAACAATTCAGTCACAAGGCTGTCAGCATCCCAGAAAGCCGATCTTGAACACACTGAGAGGATGGGCAGTTTGCCAAGTTGCTTAATTGAGAGAAGAATTATCTCAAGAAGCCTGATACAAGCACAAGCTTAGGCATGAGGGAAACGATTCAGTTGATTTATGAACGAGCAAGGTTTTTTTAATTAACTAGACAGTTCAGTCGTATTTTTCTCCTGAAGAACAGCAGGGAAGAAGTCTGTTCTTTTCCTCTTCGAGCATATCATTTAGAAAAGGAAATAAACAACAACAACGACAGAGATATCATCTTTCTGGAGTATTAGCATCCTGTTCACATCTTGACATTTAATAACCCGAAGAGTGGTTAGGGTCGAGTTCCCTCAGCAGTCCATCAGGAACACCAAGCAGTATGACATCATTTCTTGCTCAGCAGTGGAAGCAAAATACATATTCTCTAATGGTTAAGACATTATAGCTAATTAATATATCAGAGTTTAACCTTCCTAAGTAGTCTGACTATTGCTTCTGACTTCCAAATGGGCAACTGACCCAGCCTGAATACTCTACAAGTATACTCTTCAAGGCTTGTACCTTGAAGGAGCTCAGCAGGGCTCAGTCTGTCCTCCTAGCTGCAAGGTTCAAGCCCAGTGCAAAACTATTCATCTGCTAATCCTCATTTTTGCAGAAACCAACATGAACTTGCACACACCCTTAAGTTTTGAGGATCAGAGGAGCTGTGGGTTGCTCAGGGACTGCCATTCAATGACAGGGCTACTTACCTAACCGGGAGGGTTTTTTTTGAAGAGGAGAAATTGGCCATGTAGGGAACAGGTTGTTGGTTTTTTTTTCAGTTTTCTTTGTCTTCTCAATCTGGGTAAGCAACTTCTGTACGTTCTCTTTTTGCTGAATTTTGTGAATTGTTTTTTTTTGTGCTGCATTATCTACACAGCTGTCACATGGGAACCCCTAATCTCTAGATGCAACTGTGTGTTAGGTACAGAGACTGATTCTGGTCTTTTCTTAAACTGCATTAAGGACACTGAACTGACACCACTAATAAAGGATACTAATCTCTGTCTCTTCCCATGGTATTAATCAGAGTATTTGACAGAGTTATATCAGTGATACCTCCCCTTGGGGCTGCATCTGTTTTCTGTGCTGTATGAAGGGTTACCTCACTTCTGCACACTTTATGTAAAAAAATAAATGCCAGCAGAATTACCCAAGGGACAACACAGGGATTTCTGTAATTTAGTTCTGCCTACCTAAAGGACAAGTAAACAGAACAGAACCAGAAGCCAATGAGAAGGCAGTGACCTTACCTGTAGTCTTCGGATCTGAATGTCTGAGAACTTCCTGACACCATTGACAGAGGGCACCAAACGGTTGTAGAGAGCCTTCCAAAATGAAACAAGCAGTTAATCAGCACTGCTGACACATCCAAAACAGGCTGGGCAAAGTGGGCTGGGATCAAATACAGGGTAAGAAAGGATTGTACCTGGTCAGACTGAGTCAGCTCGTGGAATATACGCGCATCAATAGCAGCAGCAACCAGGTTGTTGGCTGCAGTAATGGCATGGATGTCACCAGTGAGGTGAAGGTTAAACTAGAGGACATAAAACATATCAGTTACCTCATCCTGCTGCAATTTTCATTTATTCCAACTCACCGTAGACAGATGGAAAGAGAAGTATTAATAGTAATGTTAAAGTGGGTGAGGGTGGAGGGGGAGAGATTGCTCAGTGCAGTATGTGGAAGAGAGGAAAGAATTTCTCTAAAACATAAAAATGCCTCCCCCACATTCGTGTCATTTTACAAACTTCTAAAACAAAGCTCCCAAATAAAAAGTTGTTTGTTTTCTTTTCCCCTCCACCAGAACAGTTCTCACAGGCTCCTTGGCACTTAAAAGACCCAACTCAGCACACTCTGTGTTCTGCATTGCTCTTCCTTCACCTTCCTACTGACCCCCTCATTTGCACAGCAAGTTTCACACATACATTAGCTGAAGCGGCTGCTGCTCCCACAAGGGAATCTGAGCTAAACTGGAACTAGCAACCTTGTGCAGCACTAGCAGTGGAGCTGTGGTTGCACACAGCTCTGCTTAAGGTAACCACCCAAACACAGAATAACAGGCAGAACTTATAGACCACGTACTACAGTGACACTGCTAGTAGTTTTCTTAGTTCCATCTCATTAAAACATAGTTTGAGTGGGTTTGCATACATGAGTTCTCTGGCTGCACTGTAGCTGTGAAGCTGGTGAAGGATCTAGATTGGGTATGAGGGAAAATTTTTTCATGGAAAGGGCTGTCAAGCATAGAAGCAGGCTGCCCAGGGAAGTGGTGGGGTCACCATCCCTGGAGGTGTTTCAGAAACATGCAGTGGCACTTGGGGACACAGTTTAGTGGTGGGCTTGGCAGTGCCAGAGGAATGGTTGGATTTGGTGATCTTAAAAGTCTTTTCCAATCTAAATGATCCTACAATTATGGCAGGTGAGTAAAAGGTGTGGTTAAAAAAATCCTCTTCATCTCTAGCAAAGCAGCAAAGGAAGAAGATGAAAAGGGGATATTAGAAAAGGTGATATGACAGAATACCTCACAACACCATTTTACTGAAGCCTTACTACTATGGTCTCAAAAGCCACAAAGCTAAAACAGATAGTCACACACCAATTGTAAATCCTAATTAGTAAATGCTAATTGTTGTCTCATTCTGCATAAATGCAACAAGAAGCAATTATTATTACCTTTGTTCTGCAGTATGAACTTTGAAGCTTTTCACTTGCTATCTTTTTTATAGGATGAAAGCTGCACACAGAATTATTAAATGATGTATCAAGGTCATTATTGTAACCAGTGACTCCAGACACTTTATCAGACCTGCATTGTCTGAAACACCCCCACAAAACTATGTGTATTTGTACCACCTGGTACAAGAGAAACAAAACAAATAAAAGTAATTCCAGCCAATTTGGTCCCTCGAATGTGGCTGTTTCCCACTGCAGCATACAGTCAGGTATTTTGGCTTGTCTTATTAACCCTCCCAAAGAGGAGGAGGTTATTTTTCCTGTCACATCTATCCTTCACACGTACTTGACACGTGACGAAATCAATATTCTGCCTCCTGAACATCTTTTATGGACCTGCTGCATCAGTTAGAACCAAAAGCCCTTTTGATCGTTTCTGCTTTTCTTCCTGAAATTGTTCTGTGTCAATCTACAATGCACGAGACAAAGGTAGAATTCTACAGGCAATTACTCTGAGAGCGGCACGAGAGCACATGCTACACGTGCTTTTTAATTCCCTGCCTCCAGACACAGAATTTTACTTGTTGCCAAGTCACACCCGAAATATGCTCCAGTGCCAGCCCCCCACAGGCTGAGGTCCTGGCATTGCTGATTCCCTTTTCCCAGTTCATGTTAGCAATCTAAAACACAAGCACAGCAAAATAGCTCACGGAAAGAGTCGGTGGCCACGACAGCTGACAGAACTATGCAATATTCTTCCAAAATGCATTAAGCCATTATCATCTTCATTTCAGTGCTGGGAAAATGAGGCATAGGATGTACTTTGCTCCAGGGTACACAGCAATTCAAGGTAGAGAAGGGAAGGCAAGAGAGGAACTGGGAAGTCCTAGCTCTGTCAAGTTCCCTGACCATGAAGACACACTTCTGAAACAACACAAGGATGGTTGTTTGCTAAAAAAAAGGTTTGCTGAAATCAAGCACCCAGTTCTTTCTAGGTCATAAACTCACACATTTTCTCAGCTATCTGACTTCAGCAGCTCTTTAGGGTCTGTGAGCTGTGAGTGCAGTGAGGCTTTGTTAAAAGAATTACCTCTTCCATGGGGACAACTTGACAATAGCCACCACCTGCAGCTCCACCTGCAGAGACACAACAGTCAGACTACAAGAATCCAGGGGTCTCCAGCCCAGAGTGCTATTACATCCGTTTGCTTAATGGCTCCAAGAGGGCAGCTACCACTGAGCAGCTGAGTTTAAGTCCCAACACAGTACCTTAAAGACAAAACTGAAGAACTTATCCAAAGCTCTTTTTTCTTAAAATAGATGCACTTGTAACTAGATATAATGTAAAACTATAGAGCAGCAGAACAGTATTTCTGAATGCCATCTTTGACCATGTAGGCCAACTGCAAGCAACAGAACAATTGTACCTTTTATGCCAAAAGTTGGCCCCTGAGAAGGCTGCCGAACACAGGCAAAGACATTCTGGCGAAGGTGTGCTCCTAAGGCTTGGACGAGGCCAACAGTGGTGGTGCTCTTCCCCTCTCCCAGGGGAGTGGGAGTTATTCTGCAGCAGCAAAGCAGAAGAGACACAATTACAGCCTTGCAGTGGGTGAGAATCAAATCCCAGGGATAAAACAGTCACCTAGTGATTGTGGTTAATGAGAATTCAAATTCTGAATTGGCTCATACTTCAGCTAATCTTCATCAATTCAAAACGGGAAAGATTGACAAATTATCACACAGATGCTGACAACTTTCCTCTGAAACGATTTGCTAGTTCCTACTGAAAGCAGGCTACTAGACCAGGAGAAGTTTGGCTAGGAACCAGTCTACCCTTCATAACCCTGACCTGTAGACCAAAACAATTCATCTGCTGGAGAGAAATGTTAAGCTAGGTTCCCACTGTTTGCCACAAGTGATCAATCTACTTCCCAAAGTACTACATTTTCACAGTGTGATTTACTAAAACCCAGAGCACCCCCATACAGTCATCCCACCAAAAGACAATTCAACAACAAGCCATGTTAATAAAATTTCTTTTCATGTTGTAAGTGATGTCTCAGTTCAGGAAGCACCTACCCAGTAACAACGACATATTTGCCATCTGGCTGGTTCTGCAGACGTTTCAGAACTGAGAGCTGAATCTTGGCTTTAGTTTGGCCATAGAGCTCCACCTCATCAGGGAAAAGGCCAACTTCTTTTGCAACTTGATCAATGGGCTTGGGTATGCAAGACTGTGAGATTTCAATATCACTTAAAGAAAGAGAGCAAGATGAATGAGTATGTAAGTCAAAGACTCCCCACAAATTCCCTGCTTCTGGATGGAATAAACTACAAACACCTAATCTATATTTTACAAATTAGTCTTTAAACCCCCGCTAGTTAAATTCATCAATCCCACCAATATCAGGTACATCAGAACAGGCAGAGTTGCCTTTTTAAAAATAAAAAAAGGCCAAACCCAAAACAAACAACAACCCCTCTCCTCAACCTCCCCATTTTCCTGAATGCCTTTTGTAGGCAATGTGTTATGATCCCAGATGGTATTTTGCATATTTTCAGCTGCTCCTTGGGGACTTGACACCAGCAACTCCTATTTGAAGATGCTACAGTTTTGGCATGCCAGACTGAAAAATTTCCAAAATACAAGCTTTTCACTATTTCCTACTATATTTTGGAATCAGCTATATTCCTACTATTCCTACTATATTCCTTTTCCTACTATGTTTTGGAATCAGCAACCATCTAACTGGCCAGAAGTATGTGAAAGTCCAAGACTACACTTCAAGAGCTATCACAGCAGAACTGCAATTTAGCTCTGCTTCCTCAGGAAAACCTTAGAGTTCCATCATTTGAAAGCATTACCTTGGAACAGGCATCTTTAGGGTAAGCTGGTTGTACTGGATAGTCCATTTTCCAGGCTGGAACTTCTCCAGAAAACGCTGTGCACTCTCCACAGTGCTCTAAAACGAGCAAGTGAATGCATTAAAGCAATCAGCACTGCAAGAACTGCACTGGTTAACAAAGAGACCGGAAAGGTTTGCCCCTGTCTCAGTTTGGGATGAAACCAAAGTGCTTTTATTAAAGCATTTGCTAATAAGCCAAAATTATATTCTGCTTACTGTTTTCTTAAAAAGAAAAAAATCCCACCATATCTATCTCCCTACCGATCTTCTAGTGTGCTGGAATTTTTCGGGTATTCTTAAGGGTTTCTTAAGCAAAGCATGGAAACAGAGGGAGCTTGTTTATACTGTTACCCTCCTTTTTATCCAATCACCCTAATGATAGTTTCAGAATTACATCCAGAGCATTATAAGACAGGCCCATTTTTTATGGTTTTGAGTGGCCACACTCAAAAAACCCTAAAAAAACCCCCTAAAACTGACCAACCAGAAACTTCTGCTCTAGCACTTTCTTAAAGTCCATCTTCTTCCTCAATTAACTGAATACAAATTGTCTGGACTAGAAATTGTAAATCCTAACTTGATTTTGCAAGAGCAAGAAGGGAGCACCAGCTGCTTTGGCAGTACGCTGATGGTCAGCAGCAACACATCCCAAAGCAAAAACAGAGGAGATAACCACAGTCTGCTCAGTACCTGCATTAACATGGCCACAGTCATAGGTCCAACACCACCAGGAACTGGGGTGATGAAAGAAGCTTTTTCCTTTGCTGAACTGTATGCCACATCTCCCACAACTCTTTTTCCGCTGGCCTTTGTGCTGTCTGGGGATTTAAGGAGAAAAGTAAGTTACACATCACATTTCACCACAGCAACAGAGGAGACAGCACTGACTGAAGCTGAAGTCTTTAATTCTGCTGGAGTAAACAAAATAGAAGCTGAGTACCCAGGAAGCTGCAAAGAAAGATAAAAAAGCTAAGACAACATCACAAGATGAAGCTGTTATCATCATACTTCACTTGCAGAGTGTCAACAGCTCATGCAACACATCCTCCCATTAAGCACCATTTATCCTCAGCCAGACAGATCTCCCTTCCCTGGAGGATGCAGATCTTTTCTCAGTGGCTCATGACCCACAGGACAGTTTGAATGAGACATAATCCAACAGCTGGGAAGAGGTGAGATTTGAAACATGGCTGACTTGTTCCAAACCCCTAGGTTTATATTTGCTCTGTTCCATTTTGGAGAGAATATGGGCCTTACTATTGAATAAAATCACCTGCTTTTACAAAAACTGAAGACAATTTCAATTATCACTGCTAGTTTAATGATGGACCAGTAAATATTGCAGTTCACAGAGATCAGTCTTGTCAAAACAAACTTCACATGTGGCTTAAGAAAGCTTCAGTAGGAAAATCTTTCCCTCAGGCAATGTATTGTGCTATATCCTTCACTGCATGACTTGACAATTTAGAAGCAGACATAGTACTTTTTCCCAGTGGTAGCCTTTAAACTCACCCATAAAGAGAGGAAGAGACAAAATGAATTAGTGAACTAGCACAGTCATCTAAGAAAGTCACTGATTACAGAACATTAAACCAGAAAATTTAAGTTGCTCCAGGAATGGCAGATTATCACTTCAGATAAAGGATTCTAGGGAGCTTCTAACCAGTGTGAAAACCTGAAAATAGATTTCAATGTTGTTATACTGAAATATTATATTGCATACAATAAGTGTGCGTTTGAACAGAACACAATAAATAACTTTCATATAAATCTGGTGAGGGGGAGGAGTGGAAGAGAAACCAAACTCCTCAACAGCTGATTATGTTAAAAGCAAAGAGAGAACAAAAGGCAGCTCCTGCCAACATTATTTTTTAGCTGCATTGTTACTGACAATTAGCAGCTTGGATGCTTTGCTGTGTGTTTTAAGCAACACTACTTCTCCCTAAAGCTCAAAGCCAGAACAACATCACAGCTGCTAACCAGTGTTTCTGCAACCGCTGTCAGTTTGCTGCCTGAACTGCAGACCAGTCTGGCCTTCCCCCCTAGAGACCAATTTAATTAAGGCTGCTAACGGTAAATAATGTAATTTTATTTTCTTCCAAGGTTGCCAAGCAGGCTCATCAGCCATCCTGGACAGGAAGGCTCTCGGCCCAAGAGTGAGGAAAATAAGCTGGCACTCCAAACTGCCTCATCTGTTCCACAGACGCAGAGATGAGCACGCGCCAAACAATCCCCCAGTCCCTGCTTCTGCATCTGCACCTCACGACAAGCACTGCTGAGCACAGCCTAGGAGCTGTTCAATTACCTCCAACATATTCTTTTGAAAGAAAGCTCACACACAATACTTGCCATCTCTCCCCATAATGTCACTTTCTCAATATTCATCATCCCACTCTCAAAAAATACAAACTAGTTACAAAGAGTATCAGTGATACTATAACCATGTTGCAAAAAAGCTGCTCTCATACTCCACTCTCATGGCTCCTTGTTAGCAAGGGTTGCAAAATCCCATAGCAGGAACTTTAAGCAGAGTTGCTTCTTCCATCAGGACTCAGAGAGGGACATTCCAGGACTGCCATCTTTGGGAATATCCTCTACCTGCACTGCTTTTCCCTTTCTGTACCAAAGCAACTTCTACAGGCCTGGAATAAGGCATCCAGAGTATTTGCTGGACCAGCCCTGCAACTGCAGCAGTGAGGAGAGACAAATACAGCCCACTCTGGAAAGTAAGAGGAACTTGTCTGTTCTAGTAGAGGCTTCAGGAGATTGTTTTTTCCTCTCTGTCTACCTGAAGGAAATTCTACTTATTGCAGTACACAAAGTCAGATGTGGCTCAAGTGTCTCTTCCAGCCTCCAAATCAGCACCCTTGGAGAGTTCAGGACACTCTCCACTCAAAAGCACAGCAGCTGCACTTCTATGCTGCTACATGGCTACAACTTGTCCTAAACTCCAGCTTGGCAAGACTGCACGAGGTAATGCCCTGACATATCAAATCAGTTTGGGATCTGCCTGGACAGGGTACCCTGACTAGCAAACCAAAGGCATATCCAGAGATTGCCATGTCCTCCAGCTGCACCTAGCTGGGTGCACTTACACCTGTGGTAAGATGTATGTGCTCTCAACCCATCACAGCCAGCAGCAATGCTCTATCTACACAGTGACTTAGCTGGAGAAGCCAGCAAGCTGGCTGCTGTTCTTTCTATAGCACTGCAATTCTCACAATTCTGGTACTCATTTCCCAAAAGATTCATCTGAAAAGATTCTGCAATATATCAGAGGGGAAAAAAGTCAGGAGAACTCAGTAGCTTCAGAAAACCACAGGAAAGAAAAAAAAAATAAAAGGAGACTTTAGCATCCATGATTTCAAAACGTGACAGTTTCCATGATACTCTATCAAGTCTCAATTATCAAATCTCAATGCCATTAAGTGTATTCCATGTGACACTGACTGGGCTGGGTGCACAAGAAGCTCAGATGTCAGTGCACTGCTCAAGGCAGGCTAATTGCAAAGGAACAGGGATATATCCTCAGAGATGCAGTTCACATAAAGCCTAAAAAAAAGGTCATGCCATCATGTATCAGAAACACAATGGGGGTCTTATTTGCAACATGGCAGTTGGGGAGACTCCAACCCATTCTGCTTCATGCACATCAGCAGTGACCCTGTGGGTTTTGGCAAATGGCCTAAATTTGGATAGCTTGGAACAAAAACATCAAGCAACAAACAGCAACAGCAGATGACTTTTTAATTTTAATTAGATAGAGGACTAATGTTTTTAAAAGCAGCCTAATGTCAACTTTGAGTAACAAGACCACTGAACAGAAATTTCTTTACATTCTGTTAAATAATGGCAACAAAATGACTGATTAATTATGAAAACTACCTTTTAAAAGCCTTGTGGGTGTAGCACAGAAAGAGTGACTAATTTTCCATATCATTCAATATCTGTAATTTGGATTTAAAATGAGATGAAAACAGAAATTGCCAGACTGTCTGTACCATCTTTATAAGGAAGGAGCAGCTAAGTGAAACCCTACCCTAAAATCCATTATGTTAAAGCACTTTATTCTATGCCTAAGCCATTGTCACCAATACTCTTGCACAATCTGCTTTGTTTCAAGACAACAGCCATTCAAGCCTAAGAAGTTAATGCTGTGATTCAACAAATCCACAGCTACTTTAAGAGGCTGCTTGTCATTTCTGTACTTCAAAGGGAACAGTTTCATCAGATCCAACCACGAAGTAATGACAGCAAAGCCCTGTGCTCCAAAGTGACAACAGCGACAAGACTTCACTATGTGAAGTGGGGCAAATTAAATGGATATTCTGTTGCAATATTTCGTAGGCCTCCTCTTTGTTCCATTAATCATCAGCCTCGTTGAAGGCAGAATCAAAACTGCCACTGCCCTGCTTTAGGAGAGTTCTTCACACCAGTGTTTTCTTTACTTTGGCATTGTCAGAGGTTGCCAAAGACACTACTTAAGACAGACTTACAGGACAAAGAAGTCCATGTAGACCAGAGATACCAAGGAAACGGTATTCATGAACTTAGCAACTGCATTTATATACAAACACATCCCCACGTGTTAAAGTTGCCCACGTACCTGGCACATGGTTAATTCCACAGTCTATTACGATTGCACCAGGCTTGATCCATTCACCTTTTACCATTTCAGCTCTACCAGCTGCAACCACAAGGATATCAGCTTTGCCAACCTATTAATAAAAATAAATAAAAAAAACAAACAGCCCTGTATCACACTGGCAGTGGAAAAATGCAGAGCTGCATCTGCAGCAAATTTGATCAGCTTCAGCTGCAGTCAAACCGTGCTCACCCATTACCATTGGAGGCATGGAAGGGCACTGTCAGCAATTAAAGGTAGCTGCAAGTTCCTCTGCAAGGACAAATTCCTGCAGCTAGAAATAATGGCCTATTTTCACACTCCTACCCCCAACTATTGCTAGTCAACACTTCACAACCTCCTCTGAACTCCTCCATGATTCCCAAGTGGATCATACAGGCTACATTTAGATAAAATTAAAGCCTTCTGAATATTCTTCTCTTCCTCCCTTCAAATATCCCTGCACATTCAGTGCTAGAAATATACCCAGTACTCATCAGACAGCAAGAACTCATCTTATTCAGCCAAGAACAACCCCTGCACAGAACTAAGCGGCACTTCACTTGTGACAGCACTGACTTGTGCTTTTCATGTCCAGGACTGCATAACACACAACTCCAGGAGATGCTGACTGTATTTCAGCACTAATATTCATTCAGGTACTACTCAGTAAATTTGACAGATCCAGTCATGAAGCTGGTGTTAAAGACTCCGACTAAAGCTCATTGTCAGTTCCTGCACTGCTTCATTCACATTTGCTTAGGAAGCTGCTAGCCCTTGGAATTTTTTTTCCTTTAATCTTCAAGGGAGATAAACTATTTTTAAGATTTCATTAAGTATTAGCACTTCAATTTTTAATCAACCTAATGATGGTCTTACTGAACAGCAACTTAATGCCATGAAGCATTGCAGTGTTTCTGATCTACTTTGTGAGTTATATTCAAACACTCCTACTCCCTTTTCAGCTTTAATACTTGCCTACAGAGCCTGGCAGTGCTGATGGCTCTACGAAATCCAAGTAGGTGGCAGCACAGCAAAACACTATTTCTGTCACTCTCACTGCTGAAGAGGAAAATGGTACCAACTCCCTGTCACAGAAAATCGACTGAAAAAAATAAACCAACTGAGAAATCATTTGGCCTAACATTTCTCAGCCATTAGAGCAGAAGACCACCTGGTCTTTTGGTAAAAAAAAAATAAATCAAAACATCAAAAACATATGCTGTTTTGCCAACCCATACATGGAGATTAGGAAAGGATGATTAAATTCTCTGCATTTGCCTAAAGACAACAAAAATAATAATTTTATTGTTATAATTAAACCCCTCTAATTAAATGCCAAAAATAATCAAGATCCTATTCCAACGGAAGTACTTACATAACCACGCAATAAGCAGGACTGGGAAACCAATTCAGATAAAAGACACCCCAGACCTAATGACTCACAGCAGCAACACACTGAGCAACAATATGCATGGAGCAGCAGTGGCCTGGAACAAGTAACTACAGCCTGCTCTTACCTCCTCAGCCAGGGTGGAGGTCTTGGAATGGCATGTGGTGACTGTTGCATTATTCCAGAGCAGCAGGTCGTGCATGGGAGCACCCACAATCTTACTGCGACCAATCACCACAGCTCTTTTCCCTGCCACCTGGACACCTGCACCACAGAGAGTCAGGAGACAGCAAAAAAGAGGTCATTGTGCAGCCTGGTACACGCTAACTCAGACTGCTCTGGAGTCTTGGTCAGTCTAAATCTGGCCCAGGTGCTTCAGAATACTATTTTTCTTTGCTGAGTGTGGTAGGGAATCGCAGTTGGGAGGGAGGAAGGAAAGACCATTTTAACCCAGTTCTTTTACTATCTAAGTCAGCACAGATTAAATGTGGTATCTCAGCAGAAGCTGTGAAGCAGAGCCTTGCAATGTGTGTAATTTCTACACTTATTGAAGACTACTGCAGTCATGAATAATGTATGGAAATCTCCTTACCTGTCTGCCTGATAAGTTCCATGCATCCCTTTGGCGTACATGGAATAAAGCAGTCTCCAAGGTCTCCTCTAGAGAGTTTCCCAGCATTGATGCTACTTAAGCTGTATTTTGAAAGAATAAAGGCCAAGTAAGATTCCCAGCCTCATTGTTCAAGAGAAAATTAAGAAAAAAGGTTTCTTTCTGGAGTAGCTGTCATGCTCTCCAGGGGTAAAGTCAGTTTACCCATCCACGTCCTTCTCAGGTGCTACAGCATTGGTTATTTTTTCTGTGTTGATGGGTTTATCGGAGTCGAGTGGCAGCTGCACTATAAAGCCATGAACAGCTGGGTCTGTATTCAAAGAGGCAATGCACTTGAGCACCTACAACAGCAAACACCAAAAATCTAATGAACTGAAATATGACTAATGCAAAGGAAAAAAACATAATCCTATCTTGATTTAAAGATATAAACTTTAAGTTTAGTTTTTTCACCCAAAAGTATAAACCACTCACGTTTTTTATTAAAAAAACAGCTCCTAAAGTCTTTAAATTTTACATACATTGTAGTATTCTAGGGGTTTTTTTTAAAAAAAGCAAAATCTTAGCAGGTTCCAATTCTTTTTTTCATGAGTTATTATCAATAGGCAAGTAGTCCTTTTATATACAATGACAGTGCAAAGATATCTTGAGCTCAACACCGAAGTTACGTATTTTTTTTATCACTGGCTGTATTACTTACATCAGCTTCTGTTGCTGTGTTTGGCAATTTTATGTGATTGGCACTGATCCCAATCTGCAAATGAGAATAACAACAAATTATCTGATTTCTGAATTGACATCCAATTGATTTGGCTAATCTCTCTATCCAGCTAAATCACAGCTGCATTCTGTCATTCCCAAGTTTATCTCCTGTCCCTGAGGCTTCAAGTCCTATGATTTAGAAATAACATCAAAGAAAGATTAGTGCTTTGCCCACTGAGTCTGTCCTTTAACTGTCCTCTTCACCTTTTGACATGAACAACATCAACATTTGCTTGACAGCACACTACCTTAAAATGCCAGCAGAAATGCCAGGTATCACCTAGGGAAAAATGCCCTCATCTGTGTTCCTGCCCTGTTATAGCATGTCATGTTCTACCTGTGACAAGCACAAGGCAACTGCAGGTACAAGACATTCAGGGAAGATAAGGACAAAGCCACAGGTCAGGAAAGACAGCACTTCAGACAAATGTAATCTGTGATGACCACACAAGAAGTGGCACCAATCCACACTGCTGTGACCAGAGCACTCCACCTGGCTCCCAGGTTACACACCTACACCACATTTTTGTAACTAAAAACTCAGGCCAATGCTGCTTTCTCCAATACTGGCAAAACTTAGACAAAACTATTGACTTGCATCTGTTTTTTCATATTCATAACTGACCAACTGTAGGAGGGTAAATGTAGTCCTAAAAGTCTAGGCATTACCTCAGCAGCAGCCTTCAGCTTCATGTTAATGTAGAGGTTTGAATCATCCCGATTTCCAACCTAAGGATGAAAAGACATTTGAATTACAGGACAGAATAGAGACCCTGATATGGGTTTAACCCTCAGCTTCCTTGGATCTGCTTCAAGGAGACAGAGGTATGCCTGAATTACTGTAAACCACACTGATAGAAGATATAAACAGCTGGAGCTAACAGGAAAGTTCTTTCAAGTATGAAGCAGCTAAAGACAAGTTGTTTGAACTCCTGCAAAAACACCATTTGCACCTGTTGAAAAACCTTGAAAACACAGTGGTCTCCAAAGCAAAAAGTACTGCCTGCCATCTGATCTGAGGAAGTTAAATCCTTCGCTAATTAACATGATCAGCAGGTGCTGATAACATTCAATTATCTTATTAAGGCTTTCAGAAACGTTGGGCCTCTTTGATACCCAAGAATCTTTATTTTATGTACATGTGTGCTTTGATGGAGACATTTCTTCCACTGCTGTGCTGAACCCTGAGAATTTTCCTGCCAAACAAAAAGATGCACAAAGAGAAAGTGGAACAAATACCTGCAGTCTTTGGCAGTACTGAGTGCTTACAGTACAACCGCATTTCAGGAGACCACTTGCACCATCCAGTACATTTTGTTAAAGGTAATACTCCTTCTAACCTTAAGAAAATAGGGGTCAAGTAAGGAAAAGCTGATAAGCAAGCTCTTGAATTCCTGTTCCCTGGTACTTGGGAGCCATCCCTGGTTCTCACATGGCCCACAAGCTGAAGAGGTGACTGCATTACTGCATTACCTGATCCCCCACAATCACACTGATTCTTCCTCCCTAGGTACAGATAAAGGGGCTGTCTCCCCTGTGAAGTCTGCTGGGTTTAGGAAAAGGTTTGCTTCATACAGGGCAGAAAAGCAGATGTCAGCAAACATGTTCTGTGAATAAGGAATTACTGACTACAGGACAAAAAAATAAAGATTAACTGACTTATTCTTTGAGCTCAGAGGACATCAGATACCTCCCAAGAACAGAGCACACAATGTATGGTGTGCTACAAATAAGAAACTTCCCATTGTCCTGACTTCACTGAAAAACAGACAGCTGCAAATATCAGTATCAGGAGATGAACTCCAAGCCCAGACTGTTTGGCAGCTTACAAAAGAAAGTCAAAGAGCAAACAGGTAGTAAAGGACTCTGAGACAACCCAGGATGGAATACAGGCCCACCATGAAAACAATCCAATAATGCCACAAGACAGCAATTTTTGAAGACAATTTATGAGGTCAATAGTTCAGCAGCTTTCATCAAAGCACTACTAAATTTTTAGACCCTCCTTCCTTCCTTCTAATCATCTGCAGACAAATTTTCTGTAGAGACAATCTACTTAAAGCTACCGGAAAGGAAAACCAGGGGAAAAAAAACCAAAACACAAGCACAGATTTGTTCCTGGCATCCAAGACGAGTATGGCCTTTGTGTGCTATGGTGGTATTAGAACTGGAATCCACACACAGACACCAAAGGCTCTGCAGGAGCCCAAAATAAGAATAAGAACAAAATAAGAATAAGAACAAAAGTCACTTCTCTAATCCTTTGTGGACATACAGTTCCTTCCTGTAGCATGACACTTGCTACTGCTAGTCACCCTCTGACCTAAGCACAAAGAATTTCCATTTTTTATAGATGCAAAGGAAAAAAATTCTACCAAACACAGGTCAAACCCCTTTACTTGACGTGCTTTTACCTCTGCAAGCCTTTCTGTGTAGACTCTTAACACTTGCTCTCTTCTGAGAGATATCCAATTCAGCAACAGTATGTTGTTCCATCCCTTGCACTCGAAGTCATCTTGGCCAGAAGTAGTTTTAGTTTTGTTTGGGTTCCCTCCCCTCCTCTGCCCATCTTTTCTCCATGTTTTGACATAACAGCAGACCAAATCACTTAATAAACATCTCATTTAGAGTATTTCTTGTACAAACACATCTCTGAAAGCTGCCAAACTTCAGGGCTCACTCAAATGCAGAGATTTCAAATGGAGTCTACAAGCACTGACTGCTCTTAATAGGCAAACAGCTTGATTTCACCATTTCACAAACACAACACTCCAACAGAGAACAAGGTCTGAAGAAAGAAATAAAACAACTGAAAAACCCCCAAAAAATTTTGGACCCTGATACTTGGGAAAAAGACGTAACAGGACTGTGTTACCATCCCAAAGAGAACACTGTTCCTAATAAAATGCTACCAACTACAAGGCAGCTTTGATGAAGCTCACCAGCTGTGCCCTTACCACTACAAAGCAATTAATTTTCTGTAGTTGTCATTAAAGGAAACAATACCTGCAAAATGGCAAGTCCTGGTCTGAAGCCTGGAAATTTCTCAGTCATCTCAACAACTTGCTGCTTTAGTCTGTCTCTCACTTGTCTGAAGAGGGGAAAAAAATGAAAACAAATACAAGAAAGAAGTTAATCATGGGGCTGGATTCTGATACAGTGATGGAGTTGTTCTGATACAGTCAGGAGCTGTAAAGGTGACAGATGGGCATACTGGCAAACATGAACTTACGCCTCAAGTACACAGCTCCCTTCAATCTCCAAATAAGATTGATGTCCCTAAATCACTAAGACACTCTGGAACCAGGTTCATTCAAATCTATTCAAATGATTTTATTTTTTTGAAGTCCACCTTGTGCTTCTTCACACTTTCATAGGATACAAGGGTAAAAAAAAAAGTTCAAAATTTGACATGGAAATTCCTGGGATTTTAAACTCATTTCTCAAAAGGAAATCCTCTTTCCACCCATGCTGCACTAAAATTACCTGAATCCCAGGGGCACCAGTTGTCACTATCACACAAGATGTCCTGGTAAAGGATTATGAATTTACAATGTTAAAATTCTGAGAAATAACCAAACAAGCAGGAGGTACCCAAAGATACAGCAGGAAGGAGAATGGGAGGTGGACACAGGTGAGGAAAAGTCACCAAACCCTGGTACACGGCTCAGTTCAACTGTTCAGTAAAGGCAACTTTAAGGATACAATTGTAAAAAACACTACTTTGAAACAGAGCACTGGTTAGTTGTTCCAGTTCAGATGTGAACACACCCACTTCACCGTGCAATGTTTAATAATGAGTACCCAGCAGGGACACTAGCCACAGACAGCTCAAAACCCTCTGGTTACCACCCCTCCCCAGCCTTGCACTTCTTTCTCATTTCTCAATCACTCTCTGGCCCCACACACATAATCCTTCACCAGGGAAGGTGCCAGGCCCAACTGCTCTGTCTCCTCACCAGAGGCAGTCAGGGTTCTGAAAGAACTGACCAGTTCTGTCCATCTCAGGCTCATGGCACTGGAAGGGGGCTGTGGCAACACACTGCAAATATAAGAGACACTCAAGCAAAAGCCAGATTAAGTAAAACTTCACAGGATATGAGAGGCTTGACAGGTCTGTCCTCCATGTGATCTCCATTCTGTGTCCCATCCCCATTCTCAGAGACAAGAAGGTGCTACGACTACACTCAGCAAATCTACCCTGCACCAAACACCCTTTTGTTTAAAACACAGGTCTCCTTGTGCTCATCTACCCTCAGATCCATATCACCTGGTCTGCTACTGCCCAAGTGGAACCAGACTTCCCAGACTGGGGCAGGTGCTGTTGGCACCATTTCATTGAAAATGTGACTAGCAAGGGTACAGGGACAGGGTACGTAGCTGATGCCAGCTGGGAGGCTGTGATTCCTGCACAGAGGGAAACTCCAGGGAAACATCCAGTGAGGCAACTCTACGCTGCAACTACAAGCTCCAAATCAGAACTGCCAGAGGTAGAAGACAGGGAAATGGGAGCAGCACACAGCTCTCTCAACCCAGCAGCACTGATCCCAGGGGACAGCTGCAGCTGGCCCAGCTCGAAGCAGCCCTAAGGCTGTTTTAAGTTTCATCTCAGAGGGAGTCACAGCCTCCAGCTACATCCCAAATCATGCATCTCCCACTGCATCCTGAATTACATGGTCAGAGCTCTGCTGCACCTGAGGAGCAGGTTCAGAGCATTTATAGGTGTTGGCATCTGGCCAAGTGGTTCAAAGTCTCTTAACAAGCTACACTGGAAGCAACTGTTTTCAGCCTTAAGAAACAGTAGTCCTGAGCCTTCCTTCAGCTGCCACCTCTGTAGAGGACTTGACATCAAGACTAGCTGATGAGTTCAGGAAACAGTCTCATAGAAAACATTATCCCAGCAATTCTTTGTGCTTAAGTGATAAAAATTCATCCACTGGGTAGCAAAATCCCCAACTGTCTCTCCTTACACTCCAGCTGTAAGCCCCTAGGGAGGCACCTGAGCTGGCTCATGAGCAGCCTGGTTCTAGCAAAAACACAACAATCACAAGGAGCATCAGAAACCTCCTGCATGGGACCTGTGAGTGGGGGCTGTGAGCAACTCCTCAAGGGACCTATTTCTGAGGTCTCTGGTGTTCCAGTAAAGAAAGGGCAGCACTGGTTTGTGGCCAGCAAACAAAAAGAAATGCAAACAAACATGAAATATTATAAAGGGTCCCAGTTTTAGGTATTATTTTCATTCCAATCTTCTCAGCTGAAGAGAAATGACCCCACCCAATTTCCTCTGTGAAGCAGGGCTGTGGTGTGCTTTTACCCCCAGCAGCCTCAACTATTTACACACTACACTGCTGTCATTTTCTGTGATTAGGCACTAGGTCACTTCCCCTTCAGCTCCAGAAGAAAGGTAACACACACAAACATACAAACATGGTACTGTCAGTGCAATTTTCTTTAGGAGCCTTGAATCAAGAAATCACTTCTTAGACAGCCACCTAGCGTTGGGTACCACTGCTCTCCAGTGGTCACAAAAATGACACAGGCAAAGGTTTGAGAGAAAATTCAAGAAAAAAAAAAAAAGCTGAAATCATTGTTTTAACTCCATAGAATTACAAAGGACATAAAAATAATCTTTGCAAACCTGCAGCTATTGAGTTATAGAGTCTGCAAGATTCTTTTGTGGACCCCAGGCCTTCCCAAAGATAAAAGTTCATATGGATAAATCAATACCACCTTTTACCAGCTGTATGAAAATTCTTTTAAGTCTTCAAACAAAAAATTTGCATTTCTATGTGGCTGCTTCCCCAAAAGCCTTCTCCCTGACTCTAAGCCCCCTCCTGTGCCCACGTGCCCTTCTACAAACAAACTCATGCAGCAAACAAAGTCCAGGGTCCACACAGGTTAAGGACAGCACATGGCTCTAAGCATACAATGCAACAGCCAGAGCCAAAGATTACAGAACTTGTTAGCATTTCTTTCTATAGACTGCAACAGTGAGCTGAATTTAAATTTGTTAAGTGAATTTCCCAGAAATTCAAACAAAGGACAAACCACACTCCTTTAGCTCTGCTGGAAATGGAGAGAACATGGCTCGTGTGTGCGGAGCCCCACACCCTCCTGTGGGTTATGGATACTGCTCAGCTGGTGAGGACACACAGCACCAAGATGATACCAGGCTGTGCTTCTGTCCCTTCTGTGAGTAACAGGGTCCAGGGTCTATGCAAATAGTACCAAACACAGGACCCAGCAAACACCTCCTCAGAGACAGCGATGCTCCAGAAGATGCCTGTCCCCAAAGGGGAGGGCTTGGCTTTACTGTCTGGATCACAGATTCCCCAAGGGTTTCATAAACATGCAGCAGACCTGCTCCTGCCGCAGCTCTGCAGAAACAGCTGCATGAAGCTGACGGTCCTCCTCAGATCCTGCACCATCCTGGCCAGAGCTGCTGTCCCTCCAGGCATTCCTCCTTACAGCCTGCAGCACTGCCACTTCTCACCTCCTGTTGCTCCCATGACCATCACTATAACCTGGAAAAACAAGCTTTCCCATCTCCAAACCACCATGGCACCACATCTTAGATCAGGACAACTGCATTATCTTAAAATGCTGTGAGGGGGCTGCAAAGAAGAATGTCACAGAACATACCACTAACATCCAAAGGCACAGAGGACTGCTTCCTGAGAGAAGTCACAGGTTGGCTCAACGAGTGGCACTTGGGAAAGACCATCTGAACACTGCTGGCAATTCAACAGATGCCTCCAGTTGCAGGAAGACATCATATAGAGCTGGAATGAGTTCACATCTCCCACCCTCTTGTCTCATGCTCCACCACTGCATGCTCCTGGCACACTGTCATTATCTCAGAGGAAAAATGCCTGCTACTTTCTACTGCTTCCACACTCACAAGGTTTTTTAACTACCTTTTCAATTGTGTCAGCACAAATACATGCATGAGCTCTCTTCAGACCAGATAAATACATAAAGACATTTCTGCTTTTTTAGATGCTTTTTCATCCTGTCCAGGATTTCAGCCCAAGGTGGATCTGAAAGACATGCAGCAATTGAGGCACTTTGCACATGTGAATGACTGACAACAGAACAGTTTAACACAAAGCTGAATCTTTAAAACTTAGAAGAGTTTGCCCCAAACATGAGTTATGATACCACATTCCCATCCTGCAACATCTGTAACACCAATCAGGCCTGCTTCCCAAAATGGGTATTGCATATAATACCCTACTATCAGGTGATTTAATCAGAGGAAAACATAAGAGCAATAGGTAAGGACTCAATCCACCTTTGTGGGGCTGCAAGTGCTCCAGACAATATTCTAGGCCCTATCTACAAAGGTTTGCCTTCTGAAGGAATGATATTGAGATTATCATTGCACAGAGGGGACATGGCAGACCCCACATGTTCTTTGCCTTCCCTGTAAACTGGTGCTGTTGTGCACAGATCACAGACCTGTGGCCCTGTTGTCCACCAAACAATATTTTCTCCTCTTTTATCAACTCTTTAGAGCAGGGTCCCATTTTTTTTTTTTTTTTAAATTGTGTCTGCATAGCTGAACACACGGGCTTTTGCTCATATTTGGGGCCATCCAATAGCACAGGAAGTTCACTTCAACTCAGCCCATCCACAGTGTGGGACCCTTCAGTGCAAGCCTGAAACTTTGTGGGTAGGATCTGGCAAAAGAGAGCTCAGAGATCAGGGAATTTTTTCCACTTCAGACTAGATTTACCTGGAATTACAGTAAGAACTCCAAAAAAACCCAAAACCATTTAAGGCCCAGACTGAAAAGGCTGAAGAGTTGTTTACTGCACTGTTACCTCCAGTTAGAAGTTCAGCCTGATCACCACTTTATTGAGCACTCTAAACCCAAAGCACTGCTTGGCCCATCCCTAGGGGCTGTGAGGGGTGCCGAGTCTTCCCTACCATCACAACTCATCAGCAACTCTTCCAGAGCAGAAATGTTGGTCCACTCCTGGTCCCACCAACCAATTTGGGCCAAGCCAGGGGTTTCCAAACATGGGCTATTTCAGATGGTAAAGCCTGAACACAGCTCAGTGCAATGCACATAAACTGTGAAGTAGAGCCATTACCATGTTTTGCTCTGATTATCTCTTTAGACACAGAAACAGAGATTGTTTTTTCTTCAGGGAATACCAGCAATAAAAGAATACTGTATTTTTATTACCTTCAACCCACCTCCAACCACCACTTCTCTTCCTCCCATTAGTCATTTATTTACAGTACTGTTATACAATAACTCATCTTTTGTAACTCACTTGCCAATGAGGCAAATTTAACTTGTAGCAAAATCGAAGGCAGAATTACTAAACAGCCACTCAGAGAAGCAGAGGAAAGCCACCCTGAGGTAACCAGCCAACTCAGATTGATGCAGAACCCATCCAATATTTAATATATTTCACAGACTGTGCAGGCTTCTTGTTTGTACTGACAGAGGCAGACTTAGATGCATTTTGATGTTGATGCATTAACATCAGCACCAAAATCCTACAGAGAAAACACTGTCTGCTGTGTTCTCCTTCCCATGCCCAGCCTAACCATATTTTCCATCCTCACAGGTAATACTTAAAGCCACTGAAAATGTCCATTTTCCTTTGTATCACTTCTGAGCCTTCCAAAGATGTGAACTAGCTTTATCACCTCAACAAGTTTTCCTTATTTATACAGGCAAAGAAACGCTCAAAGTATTTATTTTCTTTACATGTTTCCCAAGAATAATACCAGTATCTACCTGATTTTTGTTTAAATAGCTGGTATGATTGTGAATTTGGTATTTTGAGGAAGGGGTGCTTGGTGGCTGGAGAAGAAAGTTCACAATACTTATGAGCTTTGATTTAAAACACACACAGAACCCCAGCATTACACAGCTAGAACAATGCTTGTTTGATTCAACTCATTTGTCAATATTTGACTGACTTACAAATAAACATTTTTCTTGATTAAAGGGTAAAGTAACAAAATCCACCCCCTACAAGATAGAAACTGAAAAGGTTTGGCAGTTGCTGTAAAGTCAGGGACATTCCCTTTCTACAACAGGCAGTTCAGTTGAAAATTCCTAGAAAAACCACAAGCCTATCACTTCTGCTGCTGTCAGACTCTTGGCCTGAACTCTGGACAGTGAGAATCCTCTGGACCAGCACTTCTCTAGGGGTCTGGAAGAAAGGGACATCCGTCTCCAATTCCTCATGACTCCTTCAAGTACTTCACTAGAAAAATGCAGAACTACCCAAGGCCCATAGGGAGCAGGTGATGCTTTTGCTATGTTGAACATAAATACAGCACAAACAAAGGTACTGAAGGACAGCTGAAAAACTGCAATTTTTGTTTTATTTTATGGTGTCTTCAGGTCAAGCAAGATTTGATGACTCTGGAAAACAGACTTCAGCCAAACACCTTAAGAGATGTGCTGGAAGTTCATCAAAACTTTCTCTTGTATGTGCCTATTAAAAGCTCATGCCTCTTCCCAGGTATTTGAACATCACGAATGCCCTCTGAGAGCTGCTAATTTATAGCTACTACTATAGTACAGAAAACAAACAGAAATTAAAAAATATTACCTTTTTATCTTTACAATTATCTTTACAATTAAGTAAGTAATGCAACATGCAATGCCAAGGTGGCTTAAAGTTTTAATGTGAATTATCATTGTACCCAAACTAGCATCTTTCCAGGACCTACTGCACTTCAGGGTGACTTTATATGACAGAAAAGAAACCTACAACAGGCAAATGAAGTCCCACCAGCAGCAAGCACAGGCATTGCAGAGTGCACTGGCCCCAACACTGCCAAAAGGATCAGGTGGAATGAAGTATGTAAGACTGACAGACTGCAATACACAGATGGTACTGGCTCCAAAATTATCAGGTGAAAAACATGCAAGCAGCCTTTCCTCATGGATATGCAGATTCAAGGCACATTAGGCCTACTTTTCAGAACTGCTCCATTGCTGGTTAGAGGTAGCTGTGTCATACACAGCAATACCTAAGAGAAGTACTAACTGCTTTGCTGACACTACTTTTTATCTTTTCAAATGTAAACTTTCTGTCTGAATTCCCTGATTATATCGACAGGAGATAGCCAATGAACCTATCTAACCAAACCCTGTTTCCACAGAATATAAGAGAACATTTACACTGCATTTTCCCCAGGATTAGGGAAATTTATTTAACTTTCTGACTGAATGTGTATGCTGAGTGGCAGCAGGAAAAACAAGCAAACTAAAACACACAACACAGGCTCACCTATACCCAGGGCTTGCCATCTAAGTAAACGCTGAAAAGTACGAGAACACTTTTTCCTTCAAGGTTTCTCAAATCTTTTAAACAGCTTTGGCAGGACACCTGTTAACATCCAGCTGTGTATTATTCAACATGTAGATTAACTCATTTTGCTTTAAAGAGGAACAATCAATACTTATAGAGCTTGAAAACACAGGCCATACCTAAAGCACATGTTCCAAAATCCTACTCATAAAGCATCCCAAGAGCCCAGCTTACACGCACAGAAGCTGTAGTTAGACAGTGGCTTTCACACCTGCCTGGGCTCTCATCTCATCGACGCTGAGCAGACTCCAGGCGCTTTCTAGGGCTGCCAAAGCGACCCCACCAGAAGCACCGCTGGTTTCTGGGGAGCACTGACAGCACCCTGCATTCTCCCTAAGACTTTTAATACTGTACTTCGTCTAGTAGCTCCCAGTTTACAGCCGGGAAGAAGTGAGCTTTGGCTGCAACGTAGTGAAAAAGCTTTAGGATGTCTCCCAACCTGTTTCGTCCACAGAGCCAGAGTACAAGCCCCCCACAGCCCCATCCCGCTGCCAGCACACCCGGGGGCCGCGGGGGCACCCTCAGCTCCCGGGCCACACCGCTCCCTTCCCGAAGGGCAAAAGCCCCGCGGCTCCCAGACTTTTCCGCCCGAGGGAACCCGGCCGAGCGCTGCGGGCAGGGCGGGCGGCCCCGCTACGCACCCGGAGACAATCTTGCCACTGAGGATCTCGGCGGGGGCCATGGCGAGGGCCGGAGGGCGTGCG